AAACGCCTGATGGCCATACGTGCACTCCTTGGGATATTCAAGCGAGGCGGTTGAAACCCCTGCGCAAAATGACTGCCCAGACAGTGCTTGCACTCAAGGGGTTACAGTCGGCCCGGATTAGTGGGTCGACCCTGCCAGCTCAAGGGTACCCTTGTGTCCTGCGCCTCGCGACGCGCGCCTTCTTACACTCCTGTGGCGATGTGGCCCTCGGAAGGGTTTTGTGCCCTCTCGCGTGTCCTGTCCAATCAAGGCCGACTGTAACAGTAGGTTGAAGTGCAATCAGGCGGGTGCGACAAGGTTGAAGTCGGGCGTGTCCCCCTACAGGGAGATTTTGGGCGAAAAATAAGAACTACTCAAAAACATACCCCCCAAATGCTCAGGCCCAACGGGCCAGAGGCGTGCTAAGATCTCCGGTAACTGCTAAATGATACTTTTACTTCGCGCGCGCGGGGCGGCCCCTGGGGGTCCCCGGACGAAAAGTACCCCGGGCGATCCCCAGCAGACTCGGGTCAGAGATGGTTTTCCTCCTGGGCGCCGCACCCGTGGCCCTCCAGAGAGCCCCAAGAAGGGCCACGAGGCCGCCAAGAGCCCTCCAAGATGGTTCAAGAGTGCTCCGAGATGCCACACGATCGTTCCAAGACGCCCAAGATGGCCCCCAGACGCCCCAAGAGGCCTCCAAGAGCACTCCCCAGAGGGCCCCAAGAGGCAAAATTCATTACTTGTCCTTAGGTTTTGGGCAGATTTTGGCGTGTCCATCTTTTCGGCTTCCCGACGCCCCAAGACGGCCCAAGAGGCCCCCAAGATCGCCCCAAGAGGGCCCAAGAAGCTCCCAAGAAGGCCCCAAGATGGCCCAAGAGGGCTCCAAGACGGCCCCAGAGGCATCCAAGACGGCCCAAGAGGGGCCCAAGAGGGCCCCAAGCGATGCCCCAAAGGGGGAACACAAAACAAAACTTCGAGCCCTCGGCCTTAAGAAGCCCCCAGGAGGCCTCAAGAGGCCCCTGAGAGGCCCCAAAAGCCCCCAAGAGGCCCTCAGGAGGCCCCCAAGCGACGCTGAAGAGGCCCCCCAGCGGCCCCAAGAGGCTCAGTCATGCGAAATGGGCCGGCGGAATGAGCGAAGCGATTCAATAAGAACTACTCAAAAACATACCCCCCAAATGCTCAAAGATTGACAAAAAATCGTCCCCAGACTCCTCTTTTTACTACTTTTGAGTATTCCTCCTGTAGAGGGACATGCCCGACTTAAGGCCAGGTCTCGTCTGGCACCCGCCCGTGGCCGCCTCGTGGACGCCTCGTGGGCGCCTCGTGCGCTGCGTGGGCGCGGCGAGGTGCCCCACGAGTGCCCGCCGCAGTGCCCGCCCGAGCGCGCCTCGTGGGCGCCTTCGTGCGCGGGGGTTGGGCGTGGCGAGGCTTCGCCTGGTGAGCGCCCGTCGGCGCCACGTGGGTGCCGCGCGGGCGCCTTCGTGCGCCGGGTGGGCGCGGCCAGGTTTCGCCCGATGCCCGCCCGTCGGCGCCACGCGGGTGCCGCGCGGGCGCCTTCGTGCGTTGGGTTGGGCGTGGCGAGGCTTCGCCGTGGTGCTAAGTCGAGCCTGTCCCCCTACAGGGGGGACATTCAAAAGTAGTCCAAAAATAGCCTGGGGACTATTCTTTGAGCATGCGTCGACCATTGGGGGGTATTTGAGGAGTTTTTGGTTCCCTACCTAGGCTCTGCCTAGAAGGGTTCTTACCCGGTGTGCTTAAAGGGCCGGGCAGTGTTCCACGCCCCCGGCGGTTCCCCCAGCATCCGCTCCGCGGTTCCCCCAGTGACGTTCCCTTAGCTTAGCGTTGCTTATCTCATCTTAGCTTAGCGTATTTCATCTTAGCTTAACTTAGCTTCATCTTAGCTCAGGTTTATCTTACCTTAGCTTACCTTCATCTTAGCTTCGCTGAGCTTTAGCATAGCAGAGCACAGCATAGCAGCGCAAAGCGTAGCACAGCACAGCGCAGCACAGCATATCATAACAAAGCCCAGCATAGCACAACATAGCGCAGCATAGCATAGCATAGCATAGCGCAGCACAGCACAGCACAGCATAGCACAGCGCAGCATAGCATAGCATAGCATGGCATAGCGCAGCACAGCATATCACAGCATAGCCCAGCATAGCATAGCATAGCGCAGCATAGCATAGTATAGCATAGCATAACGCAGCACAGCACAGCACAGCATAGCACAGCGCAGCATAGCATAGCAGAGCATAGCATAGTATAGCAGCAAAGCAAAGGCAAAGCAACAGCAGCTTTGCTTAGCTTAGCTTAGCTTAGCTTAGCGTAGCGCAGCGCTGCATTAGCATAGCATAGCATAGCATAACATAGCTATGTATATCATAGCATACCATAGCATAGCGCAGCATAGCATAGCATAGCATAGCATAGCATAGCATAGCTACATAGCATAGCATAGCATAGCATAGCGCAGCGCAGCTTAGTATAGCATCGCACAGCATCGCATAGCATAACATAGCACAGCGCAGCATGACATATCATAGCATAACATAGCATATCATAGCATAGCATAGCACAGCGCAGCATAGCATAGCAGAGCATAGCATAGCATAGCGCAGCATAGCATGGCATGGCATGGCATAGCATAGCATAGCATAGCATATAATGCTGCTTTCCTAGGGGCTCCAACTTCTAGGTAGGGTCGCACTGGGGTAATCATTTTATTTTTCGCCCAGGACACGCCCAACTCCAGCCTGTTGCCCGCCAGTCGTCGGCGCCGCGGGGGGTGGCCGCGCGGGCGCCCTCGTGCCCCGGGGCTGGGCGCGGCCAGGCTTCGCCTGGTGCCCAGCAGCCGATGCGATCTCCCCGCAGCCACAACTCACAGTGAGGATGATAGGGGGCCACATGCGAACCCTACCCCTACCCTCCACGATGTCTGAGGCGAAGTGAACCCCACCCTCCCCCTCAGAAATCGTGGGGGGTAGGGGTAGGGTTCGCATGTGGCCCCCTAGATGAGCGATGAGGATGCAAGCCCCTTGGACGCCCATGTGGATGGAAGCCTCTTCGAGCGCGGCAGGCCATCGAGAGGGGCGGAGGATGAACCGAGGAGGCGAGGATGCAAGGGTGCCCGTGGAAACGCGAACCATCCTTCCCATCGGTTTCGACTGCACTTTGTGCTCAGCGCTTCGCTTGGTTCCCTCTCCCACTGCCCCGCCAGACCGGCTTCTGTACCACAGTTCGCCCTGCGACTGCCCAAAGGCGGCGCGTCGGCACGCGGCTCTCTCCCCCTCGGGGGAGCTACAAGTGGGGCCGAAGCCCAGAAGGCGACTGCACGTCTGGGTTTGTGGCCCACCGTCGGCGGCGCCAAAGATACACGGTTACCGGCCGTGTTTGATCACGAAATGGGCGGACCTGCTCAAGAACCGCCCCGCCAAGATGGCGCTGCCACTGTCCAGATCCAGTTCTGATCGCCAGATCACACTTTGTGCCTTCACACATGCAGATGATGGTGCACCCCGGACCCGTCACAACTGTAGCCAGTGCGCGCCTGCTCGAGGATACTGCGTCGCAGGTCCAGGTCCTAGTGCGTCCCAAAACGGTCCCAGTATTGCGCCCCCCAAGCCCAAACAATGGTGGGTGAATTCTGTGCATGTTCGCTCGAAGATGACACGCCCCAGGTCGAGACGACCGTGTGCCACAAGGACAATCCCAGGTGCATCCCGCGCACGTGAGCTCGAGGATGGTGCGCCACAAGCCTAACTGGGTGTTTTACGGGACGGCTCCCAGTGCTTTCAGTACGTGTTCGCTCGAGGGTGGTGCGCCCAACGTCCACACAGCGGCGCATCCAAGAGGCAACTTCGTCTCCAAAATGCAGCCCAAACTGCTCCAGGTCCCCAACGTATAGAGGATGTGGCATGGCACCCGAATTTCTCAACATTTCCACATCCCTCCGTCCCTATCCCTACATGGTTTTTGTACCAATGTCCCTTCTATCCCGATCCTGATCATATACGCTGGAGGCATTGAATTTTTTGTTTCCTGCGTGGAGCTCCCCATGTGTGCATGTATTTGCATGGAATGGGTGTGAGTAGTGCGAGTATGAGTATGATGAGTACGAGTCTGCCAAGTGAGTCTGGAACATCCTCGCAATCTGCCCCCTGGGGTGCGACAGCCAATGAGTCTGAGTATGAATATAGTGAATACGAGTGTAAGTCTGACTGGGTCTGAGAACGAATGAGTTTGACTACGAGCGAATCTGAGGGTGGGTGAGTCTGCGTGTGAGCGATTATGAGCGTGAGTAAATATGAATGTGAGTGCGTCTGAGTATGCGTATGATGGAATGAAACTGGCCCAGAATGGGTCAGAATACGAGTGAGTCTGACTAGGAATGGGTCTGAGGGTGGTTGGGTCTAAGTGCGAATGGGTCTGAGTGTGCGTACATATGGGTGTGAGTGAGTCCGAATATGAGTATGATGAGCGCAAGTCTGAATATGAATGAACCTGATCACGAGTGAGTTTCGAGCACAAGTGAATGTAGGACATCCTCGCAATCCGCGCCCTCTGGGAATGCGAAAATCAGCGCCTCGCCATAGACATCCGCAGCATCTGCTTTGTCAGCGGACGAGTCTGACCACCAAAACACGCAAACCGCTTGAGACAGCCTCGAATTCTGGCCCCCTCTAGGGCGCGAAAACCAGCGCCTCGCCTGAGACATCCTCCGAATCTGCTCCGACAGCGGAGGGCGTTGCTGACCAAAAAAAATCAAACCAGCCGAAACATCCCCACCAGTTGGGCGCGAACGGAGGCCGTGCAATACCCCTGGCGGCCCCCCTTAGGAATGCTAAAACCAGGAAGCCGCTCGAGACATCCTCATCATCTGCTCATCGTCATCATCATCATCGTCCTCATCATCATCGTCATCATCATCACACTCATCCATCACTCACCATCACCATCATACTCACATCATACTCTAACCATACCATGGTCATCATCATGACAATCATCATCATTGGCTAGTGCAGAGAGGGAGGAGGAGGTGGTATGGGTGGTCCGGCGCGGTCGGAGAATAACACGGACCCCATCCTTCGGATATGGGGAAAAAACTCTTCAAGGGCCCCGAGAGACCCGTGCATGCATAAGTTCTTCCTGCGGGCTCTGGCCCAGGCCGCTCGCGCCGACCGCCGCCGCCGCCGCCCGCTCGCCCTGCGCCGCCAGGCCCCTGGCCCGCGCCTGCGCGAGAGGAACACTCACTAGCCCGCAGCTCACGTGCAACCGAGCGCGTCCCGCCTCGGGGGGGTGGAACCACCCCGCCTTGCGAGCCAGCCACATCGCCGCAACCCTGCGGCGGACCCAGCTCAGACGCCGAGGCTCCATGGTGCGCACCAGCTGACGCTTTGCCGTCTCTAGCTCCTCACACGCCTCCTCGCTGCGGCCAACGCCGCCTAGCACACCCAGCGCGTCGAGAAGCACCTCGGCCGTGCTCTCGAGCTCCATAAGGTCCAAGAGCGTCTCTTCCTCTTCTCCTTCTTGCGTCATCTCCTCGATGATATCCGCCTCCCCCCCTAGCGAAAGCGACTCAATCACCTCGAGGTACAGCGGACTGAGGCGAAGCTCGCTGACCTCGTGCCCCAGCTCCGCTAGGTAGTCGGCAGCAGGCTTCAGAATAGACATCCTCTGCCCCAGCAAGACGACCTGCACAGTCCGCTCGGCCTCCGACTGATTCGGGGCCTCCGCGCCTGAGCATCCCTCCAGCACGCCGCAGCCCGCGGGCTCAAGCCACCCGCGAGCAATGAGCAATGCTGGTCCTCGCGGCCCACCTCGCGCTCTGCTTGACCCTGTTCCCGTCATCGTCATCGGAGGCCTCCTCGACCCCCTGCTGCGCGACGGGAGCCTCCGAGCCCCCACGCCGCCTCTCGTTCGCCAGGCCGCCGAGCTGGGCGCCAACGTCCAGACCGACGACGATGTCGATCTCGATGGCGATGCCCTGGCGCTCCTCCTGGTACCGCTTCAGCGACGAGCCCACCGTCGGCGCGGCGCCCGCCTCGCCGAAAACGGCGGTGCCCGAGGCCTGCAGCACCTCGCCGGCCACGCGCAGGCCCCTGCTCCTGCTGAGGAGCGCAGCGGGGTGCGCCTCCAGGTACGCCGCGGCGGCCACACCGAGCAACAGCTGCGGCACGGCGGAGCAGGCCGCGTCCGCCTCCGCATCAGCATCAGCGACGAGCGGCCGCTCGTCATCGCTAGCGACTCCGCCGTTGACAACACCTTCGGCCTCCGAACAAGCGCCAAGGGCGACAACGTGGGAGCCGACTGCCAACAGACCTCCAGGCAGACCACACGGGCGCACCAGCCTCGCCGACTCCGCAACCGCCTGCGAGGCGGCACCGAAGCGCTCTGGCCGTGCGGCGTCGCGCTCGGCCAGGCTCCAGCCCGAGGCGAACCCTGCGGCGAAAGCCTTCACCTCCGCGGAAGGGCTCGCCACGTAGCAGGTTCCAGGCGCAGGTCCAGCGCCGCCGCGGCCGCCAGCCCCGACCTCTGCGCCTCCGAACTCCACCTCAGCGGCGGCCGAACGCCGAACACCAGGGGCGCCGAGAAGGACGTTGGCCTGGGTGCCGCAGGTCTCACACCCGACCTCTGGCCCCGAGCCCGCCAGACCGCATAGCCTCCGCGGGCACCGCGACGCCGATCCCGTCGAGGCTCTCGCGCTGCTGGCCGCCCGTGCAGCAGGAGTCGCCAAGCGCCCGCCGCTCGGCCTCCAGCTCCGCGGCATGGACGACTTTCCCACCTTGCACGCCCTTGCCCTGGAACGGGTGCGGCAGGACCTGCAGATCCAGCACAGGGCGGGCTCCACGAGTGGCGCGCGGCCGAGGGAGGCGCGGGCCGCGCTGGGCCCTCCGCCACTCGCCCACCAGTGCGCCTCGGCGGGGGAGGGCGCGAGCGTGGCAGCCAACGTTCCGCTCCAGCACCCTATCCCCTTCAACTCCTTCACCTCGCAGCTAAGCCATGAGCACAGGTGGCACCAGCGCTAGGCGCCGCTGCACCTCTGCTGGTGCCTGGGCACGGAGCTGTACGTCCTGGAGCTCCTCGGCCTGTCGCTGCACCAGCCTCTCGCGGGAGAGGGATGCCCAGCGCTGCGCCTCGCGGCGCTCTCGCGGGGGCCGCCACCTCTCTCCAGACAGCCGCTTCGAGGGCCGTCTCCTCGCCGCCATCGCACTCCCGCCCGTGCATGCGCCCGAGCAGGACATGGCTAGAGCCAAAATGGCTACGGACGGTGGGGGCATTGGATCAGGAACCCTTCGATAAGGAATCCAGGGTCTGGAGGCCGGTGGAACTCCAATCCAGGCTTGGCCGCGGATATCACCGCCGCCCTCATCAGACAAGGAATCCTCCAGGGTCTGCAGCATCCAGGGCGCATTCCTTAACCAACGCCCCTACCGTATCTCGCTCCCTATCCCTATCCCTATCCCTATCCCTATCGCCATCCCAATCACCATCCTCATCCCGATCCGTATCCCTAATTCCCTATATCCCTATACCCTATACCCCTAGCCGTACATCCCTATCCCTACCTGTATTCCTATCCCAATCCCTATCATTATCTTCATCCCGATCCCCACATTGTAGTCCCCATCGTGGCTCCCATCGTTTTTCTCTCCGTGGCGCCTTTCCCAAATGTGCGGGGCGTTCGCAGCACCTGCCGGCAACGCCGCTCAAAGCTTGGAGTAAAAGGCATCATTCGACTGAACCTGTATACGATCCTCTTACGTACATCAACAAGAACAATCGACTCCACCGAGATCCCCATCATCGAGTGCACGCAGAGGCTGATCAGGACACCCCCTGCCTGCGGATCTCGAGCTGCAGCAAGCACAAAGAACAACTGGGAGAAGTGATGAAGAGAATGTAACGAGAACTGTTGTCTACCGGCGGAGGAATCGAGCAACACGGGCGAAGTACGCCTCGAAGGGCCCGGGGTCTGAGCCCCAGAGGAAGTCCATCAGGGGATAACAATGCACCATACCGTCTGCCTCCAGGGCGTCCACATCCACCCCGTCCTTGATCATTGACGCGATCATGAGCTCAATCTGTGAGTGGAAGCTCTCGCAGCCGCCGTAGTCCAAGAGCGTCGGAGGGCACCAACTTCGCCACCTCGTCTCGAGGCCAGGAGAGACTCGCACGTCCGTCAGGTCTACGCTCGGAGAGTAGATCCGCGCAAGGCTCTCCGCCTGAGGCTGGCAGATGAAATCGATGTCGCGGTTCCTGCGCCAAGAGTCCGAGCTGGTATCAGAGAGTCGGGTGCGCCGAAGAGGAGGGCCAGGAAAAAAGGAGGGGGTGTATATCAAGGGACAGCGGACGAGGGGGGAGGGTCAGGAGGCGCATTGAAAGGAGAAGATGGAGAACCAAATTATCCTGGCAAAGGACCCAACCATAAGCAATTGTTCGTAACGCGTTGTGGGTGCCGCTTTCGGTGGGGCCCCCTATGGGGCCACGAAACGCTGTCTCGGGTGGGGGAACCGCAAGCGAACTGCGCCACTAGGGCGGGCCTTCGGTGGAGCTCCCTATGGGGCCACGAAACGCGGCCCTGGGTGGGGGAACCGCATGCGAGAGCAGCCACTGGAGCCTTCGGTGGAGCTCCCTATGGGGCCACGAAGCGCTGCCCTGGGTGGGGGAACCGCATGCGAACTGCCCCACTGGGGCCTTCGGTGGAGCTCCCTATGGGGCCACGAAACGCTGCCGTGGGCGGGGGAACCGCATGCGAACACCCCCAGTGGGGCTTTCGGTGGAGCCCCCCATGGGGCCATGACACGCTGCCCTGGGTGGGGGGGGCGCATACGAGAGCAGCCACTGGGGCCTTCGGTGGAGCTCCCTATAGGGCCACGGAACGCTGCCCTGGGTGGGGGAACCGCATGCGAGAGCAGCCAGTGGGGCCTTCGGTGGTGTTCCCTATGGGGCCACGAAACGCGGCCCTGGGTGGGGGAACCGCATGCGAGAGCAGCCACTGGGGCCTTCGGTGGAGCTCCCTTTGGGGCCACGAAACGCTTCCCTCGGTGGGGGAACCGCATGCGAGAGCAGCCACTGGGGCCTTCGGTGGAGCTCCCTTTGGGGCCACGAAACGCGGCCCTGGGTGGGGGAACCGCATGCGAGAGCAGCCACTGGGGCCTTCGGTGGAGCTCCCTATGGGGCCACGAAGCGCTGCCGCGGGCGGGGGAGCCGCATGCGAGAGCAGCCACTGGGGCCTTCGGTGGAGCTCCCTATGGGGCCACGAAACGCTGCCCTGGGTGGGGGAGTCGCATGCGAGAGTAGCCACTGGGGCCTTCGGTGGAGCCCCCTATGTGGCCACGAAACGCTGCCCTGGGTGGGGGGGCCGCATGCGAGAGCAGCCACTGGGGCCTTCGGTGGAGCTTCCTATAGGGCCGCGAAACGCTGCCCTGGGTGGGGGAACCGCATGCGAACATCCCCACTGGGGCCTTCGGTGGAGCTCTCTTTGGGGCCACGAAACGCTGCCCTGGGTGAGGGAAACGCATGCGAACACCCCCACTGGGACCTTCGGTGGAACTCCCTATGGGGCCACGAAGCGCTGCCCTGGGTGGGGGAACCGCATGCGAACACCCCCAGTGGGGCCTTCGGTGGAGCTCCCTATGGGGCCACGAAGCGCTGCCCTGGGTGGGGGAACCGCATGCGAACACCCCCAGTGGGGCCTTCGGTGGAGCCCCCTATGGGGCCACGAAACGCTGCCCTGGATGGGGGGGGAACCGCATGCGAACACCCGAGAGCAGAGGCAAGGAGGGGGAGGAGGGAGGAGGGGGAGGAGGAGGGGGAGGAGGAGGAAGCAAGGTGGGACGCGGGACGCTGTCTCTTCAAAACGAGGACCCAACACCACAGGATGGTTTGGAAAAACTGCATGAACATGATTTCTCAGAGGTCCGCGCGCAGTTCTTGGATCGGCGCTGGACCCCCTCTCTGGCGCGCGAAGCGCGCCAGGGGCGGCGCTGGAGGTACCGCCAGAGGGCCCTCCTCCTCCCTCCTCCCTCCTCCTCCTCCTCCTCCTCCTCCTCCTCCTCCTCCTTCCTCCTCTCCTCCTCCTCCTCCTCCTCCTCCTCCTCCTCCTCCTCCTCCTCCTCCTCCTCCTCCTCCTCCTCCTCCTCCTCCTCTTCCTCTTCCTCTTTCTCCTCATCTTTCTCTTCCTCCTCCTCCACCCTCCCACCCTCCCTCCCTCCCTCCCTCCTCGGGCGGCTTCGAGGTGTGCCAGTGTTGTTCGGGCCGCTCGATCCTCTCGGCTCCCAGCCGTCGGCCCGACGCGAGCGGCGGTGTCGTTCCACGCCTGACGCGCTGGCCATGGGCCGCCCCTTCGGTATGGCCGCGGCTGCTGCGCGTCGCCGCGTCCGCGCGCGCCGGATCGCCGCGCGGCATGCACATCGACGTGCGATGGCAGTGCAGGGGACCCCTGCAGCCGCCGCAGCCGCGGCCCGTGGCGGCTCCGTCTGGGGCCGCCAACGCTGCAGCGCGCCTCCGTTTCGCACGTAGGAGCGCGGTCGTACCTCATTTTGCGGTGGGCATCGTGGCGGTGCACCACTGCCAGCCTCAACCTGGAGGTGGTGAGCATCACAACCGGAAAGAGTCTTTGATAACCCCCTTGTATCATCAGTATTGGCATTAGAATCAGAATCGAATTAGTTGTTGCGCGGGTTTGTTGACGGATTGGGGCCGGAAACGATACTGGGCAAAAAATACCCTCCCTCGGCAGCCACTGCTCGGTTTCTGAGGGGTTCCTAGGAGTCCTAGGATTCCCTCAGGATTCCTACGGACTCCTATAGACTCCGAGTCTTTCGTATGATGCCCACTAGTTCTCACGGATTCCTGAGGATTCTTAGGATTCCCTTCGGATTCCTAAGGATTCCTAAGAATTCTTCAGGATAGGAGTCCTAGGATTCCTCGGACTCCAGATACTCCCTTAGAAATCCTATGGATTCCTAGGGTCCCTTCCCCATATGAAGACGACGACGAGAACGATTACGACGACGACGACGACGACGACGACGAGGACACGGCGCCGAATCGATTCGAGATGTAGCGAATTGTCTTTCAATCTTTTTTCCGAACAAGCTGAAAGTTCCTCTGTCGTACAAAGTTGACCAGAGAGCAGCCCGCTGGAAGAAATTACCACCCAACATCAACCCACAGGCGAACAATAGTGGGCAAATCATTGTGCGCGCGGCACACACCGACCAAGCGAACCACAACTATGGCGAGCTCTTACTGCGCACGAATATGTGCGCGACCCCCATACGAAGACGACGACGATCGCGACGACGACGGCGACGACGACGAAGACGATCCGCTCACTCAATTGGAGATGTAGCGAATTATCTTGCAATCCTCGTACATACAAACAAGCTCAACATCTCTCTGTCGTGCAGAGTCGTCGAGAGGGCAAAATCCGCCAGGATACATAACCACCCAACAACAACCCACCGGAGAACATCAGTCGGAGAAAAGAACGCGAGGAGAAGCAAGAGCCCTGAGGGAGCACGAGGAAGGTAGGATCCTAAGAATCCCAAAGAAGTCCCCAGGACTCCCTTAGGCTTCCTACGAAGGGGAGCACGAGGAGGAGGGCGAGGAGGGAGAGCGAGGAGGGGGGCGAGGAGGGGAAGGGCGAGGAGAGGGGGGGACGACGGGGAGGGCGAGGAGGGGAGCACGAGGAGGAGGGCGACAAGGGAGAGCAGGAGGGCCAGGAGGGGAGGGGCGAGGAAGGAAGGGACGACTCTTCCCAGCCGAGAGCCTGGGGGGAGGCGGGGGGGCCATCATTAAAGACCCTTCTCGGCTATTGAGGCTGAGCTGCATCAGCCTCTTCAGCCATGCTGCTGCTAAGGCCTGTGATCCTGGAGCGGATGTGCCTCGTCGTGGCGGTGTGCATCGCCATCTGGAGCCCATGCCGCAGGGCAGACCTCCCGGATGTCGCCCGCGAGTGGCAGCGCCACGTCGCCGCCGCGCGCGGCCCCGCCCCTGGCCGCGCCGCAGCCCGCCGGCGCGCCGCAGGCGACGCTGCCGCGGAGTCGTGCAGGCATTCGGTCGGGGAGCGAGGAGGAGGTGCGAAGCTGGCTTGCGGGAAGCTGAAGACGAAGCCACGACGAGGATCAAGTCGGATGAGGATATAAATCGAGAATCTCTGAGATCTGGCGGCTCTGGAGGGTGTCGCAGGCGCCGCGGCCTTCTCAGAGAATTCCGCAACGCTCTGAGAGCGTCCCGGAACGCTCTGGAGCGGATCTATCCTCGTCCTAGCCCCGTCTGGGAAGCTGACCTCCAGCAGGTGGAGCTCGCCCAGGATCTCCGCCAGATTATCGTGCAATGGCTCTCCGAACCCGCACCGGGCAGCACTTCGCCCGCGGCCGCCAGCCATGCTTCCAATGCTCGTGTTCCTCGGCACGCTGGGGCTGACCTTGTTCATGGTGCTCGCGTCCCTCGCGACACCGATGCTGTCGCCTCAGCTCATGTCCTCTCTCGTGCAGCGGCCACTGTTCTGGGCCCTCCAGTCGCTGGTAGCCTCGATCGTGCACCTGGCACACCTGCTCCTGATCGTGGGCCTCCTGTGCGTTGAGCCTCGTGATGCTGGCTGTCGTGAACCTCTGGTTGTGCAATCCACGAACCAGCCGCCGTTTCAACGGGACGGTTTGCAGTGGAAGTGGGGACGCGTCAGTGGAGTTCCCGCAGTTTTTACATGACAAAAAACCATACACATGCACCGATTTGGGTCAGGTCCATCCTGAGCCCGAGGTCGGTGCATACGCCCTCCTGCATTGGCCAGGAAGGCATATGCACCGATCCTGGGGCCAAGGATGGGCCTGGCCAGGACTGGTGCATGTGCATAGCTCTCTTCGCCCGAGTTACGTCGACCCTCCACCACAAGCAGTTGCACAGCGCAGCGAACGAACAGCTGTTACTCTTCTGCGCGGGCTGGTGGGCGCGGCAAGGGTTAAGTCGGGCGTGTCCCCCTACAGGGGGATTTCGACGAAATATATATATATATATATATATAATAATAAGAATAATAATAAAACAAACAAATCCAAAAAAAAAAAAAAAAAAAAAAAAAAAACTAGGGGCTATCTATATGTTGAGTATTGTTTGACCTTTTGGTGCATTGTAGGGGTATGTTTTATTTTTCGTCGAAATTCCTCCTGTGGAAGGGGCTGGCCCGACTTAAGGCAGGGGCCCCCCCTGGGGCCTCCCGCCTCGGGGCCCACCTCGGCCGCAACGACGGCGACGACGGGGCGCGAGGC